TTTCCCATCGCTTCCCGCGTGTCCCGGACACGAACATCTGAAGAGTGAAGAACAAGGGCAAGGCGCTCCCTTCCCTTCGGAAGGGCCGGGTCACAGGTGTTGGCGAAATGTTAGGAAACAAAACTTCAAGAACACGGCCACACAGCCCGGAAGACCCACACCAGCCATCGTATGCCGGCCGTAAAAGCCTTCGACAATACAGTTATTGGGTTCATGAATACCTAAAAAGCTATAAGGAAACCACTAGTATTTCTATATAACAGTCATGTTTTCTTGGCAACAGTGCAAACTCCAACATGAAATATGTATATACATTATAACATGTTACATAACAATGTAGTTTCATAATTACTATCAGTAACCTGAAAGAATATGAACATAATCATTTTATAATATGCTTCTCAAAAGCAACTTACAGTGGAAGGTAATGGGTTATTTAGTCAATTATTAAACCTTAAAAACCTACTGCTTACAGTTGCATGAAAAATGGGAACAATAAATTCTCCAACAGACATAATTTCTCTGTCTCTCTCACACACAGAGATATATGCGTGGATGGCTTGGTCCTAAGTCTAATAAGCAAATAATAAATTGGTATGTTGGATTCATATAATCACAATGTATCTGTTATTAAAATATTGATATCACCAACCACACTATCCTGAAATAAGACAACACTTCTGGATACATAGACTATGTACTTTAGTATTAAAGGCCTCAACCTGATAGGTAATATCTGGCATCTTACATAAACAAAAAAAAATGTCCCAATTTGGAATATTCCATTTCAAAAGATTACATGTCTGTTATAGCCACTAGGAAGAAATCCAACTAGATTCTTTAATACATCTTTTTCAGTTTCCCAAACGCATTTCTAACCCTGTTATAGCCTTTAACTAGAGACTGAGTTGTCCAAAATTAAAGCTAACGTTTGGTTATTCTGACAGCTTGGCTAATGCTTAGCCTGACACCAATTGGATTGCCTTTGTTAATATGATCTGACAACCTTAGATTCCCATGGTGGAAAAGCATCACAAGCAAATCGCCTTGTGACAAGTATCTATTATCTCTAGAATCAGAAAAGTTTAAAGGGGTTATCAAACAGAGGATCCAGCACACAGAATTCCAGAATGATTTAAGTTCTTTAGGTGTTTTTGATTGGCACTCTAATATACTCTGTGTCTATGTGATTCCTTTCTTTTCTCAAGAACTGTAAGTATCAACTCTTATTTTTTTAGAATTTTGCTCATGATTACTAACAGAGTATTTGAAAAACTTTCGTATTAAATATGAATGAAAGAGAATAGAGTGATATTCAACTGAATGTTAGATGAAATTCAGTCCTTACAATAGTAATGAACTTTCCAGGGTTAGTTCATAAGTGTGCTTTCAGAAACAGTCCAGAACTGTATTTGGGCAAGTCTGTATGTCTGGCCATGGTACCCAACCTTTGGAACATCACCCTGCCTCCCCCTGCACTGAGGTTAGCTCCAACCCTACTAACCTTACAGAAATCCCTCAAAACATTGTTTTTTCAACAGGCTGGGGATCCCCTGGTATCTGGAGCTATGTATTTGTATCTGTATCTGTATTTGTATTTGTTTGTATTGGTTTTAACTGTTTTTATGATTGTTCACTGCCAAGTCACTTATTTGGGATGAGCTGCTTATAGAAATTGAATAAAATAAAATAAATAAAATAAAGTAATTATCTTAGAACCAGAAACAACAAAACAGCTGCATTCAGCCTCAAAGACCTTGGCTTTCTAAGTTATGTATGAGACAGTTCTGTTCTGGCACCAAAATTATGGAATTAACTTTAAATTTTATATGTTCTGGTCACCTTTTAAAATTTTCAGTTAACATTTAACTTATCAAACACACACACATCACACACATACACACACCAGTATTGGTGATGCTGTTTTCCCTGTTGTCAGTTTTAACGTACTCCTTTTAATTTTAACTACGTTCTTAAGTACTACCATTTCGGATTCTTTAACCAAAAAAGTGATAAATACTTTTATAACTACATAAATAGTAACTAGGAGGAAGGCAGCTTCTGTGCTGAACCCGGAAGACCCACACCAGCCACCTTCAAACTAGAGTTGGAAGAGGTGTTTCAAAATGCACAGGACCCACAAACACAACACCCCTCCTTGATTCTGCTGCAATGGAAAGGGTTCTTCTGCATATTCACCATCCTGGAAGCAAATATAACTTTCCAGGGCATTGGATATACAGAGGAACCCTTTCCACAACAGCCACGCATCCTGGAAAGACATTTCTGCTTGATGAACTGTAACGGGGTATGTTCACACTCCCACATGTTCTGAAGCACCTTTTCCAAATCAAATCTGAAGCACTGCACAGCCCTAATTCTGACTCATTCCTCTCCTGATAATTCATGAAAAAAATTGTGCTTTTGAAATACATTTTTCCCCAATGATTCTCGAACTCCAATTTGTTCTTATAAAATAATGCACTTATTTTCTCACTAGACTGGACAGATTTAAAATGAATTGTTGGATCTGGAGAAGAATATATTTTTGTATAAATTTGGATCCAGATTATGGATTATGCTTTAATCGTATTATAATCAATGAACCTTGAAACAAAATAACCTTATTATGACTAAATGAATATTATTCATCATGTAGATCAATTTATAACATCTCTTTTAATGGAACTAAATTGTAATTAACTTAGTCATGATCTAGCTGTAAGGTTCACACCGATACTACTCACCCACAAACACAGAGGTGCAGTTCACACAATCTGTTAAATGTTAATGTGGTTTGTTTGGATTTGCCCTAATCTGTTTACGGGCATGGCTAAATGTGGTTTATTGAACAAACCATAGTTTAGCACAATGTGTGAATTCCAGTTACTTGTATACTCACACACATACATAAACACAGACCCATAAAATACTGAGACTCTTTAACTACTTGAAAAATATCTACGTTCCTTGTGGCAATACCTTAGCATAAAAGATTGTAAACATTTTAATGTAGTCTATCATACCAGCTCATCTAATTACAGTTATCAAGACATATTTACCATATATACTCAAAACCAGTGTTGAAAATGTATCATAAAACAGAAACACAGCAGCATAAAAATAGTTACTACTTTATACTACAATTAAATTACCATGAAATCATATTTTCCAACAGCTCTGTTCACCAATAATGGCAAAAAAAAAAAAATGCTGGAAGAATCTTCATTAAAAAAAAGTAAAGATGTTTTCATATCAAATACAACTCTGATGAAGCATCAATACAGCTTTCTTGACAGTGTCACAGAGGTGGTATGTCATTTGCCATCTTCCAGGATATTTTAAGTTCCTAGTCTAGCTTACAACTACTGATAAAATTTTATGCTAACTACTATATAAACCATGATGATGTTGACATCTTCAACTGGATGCATTTCATATCATTGGGAAGATGTAAGAAACTCTTTACTGAAGAGTGGGAAAGGCACTTAGGGATTCCAGGGGCAACAAACTAATCCAGTTCAGTTGAGACTTTCAACTGAATTATAATTAAACTAATATAAATTAGTGCTTAAAGTAATTCTTGGTTAAGCCAATCAACTCACATTCACTATGAAGAACAATAGACATAGCTAACAGTAGATTTTCTATTTATGGAATAATCAGAAAGGAATATTCAAGTGAATTTTACAAAGGTAATGTACTGCTTAGGAAACAAAAGATGAAAAGGATATAATGTATGGCAATTGTACAAAACAACATCACTAATATTTTTTTCTAATAATGTTAGATATATTCACCTTTTCTCTTAAAGCAGAAGAAATCACCATATTAATTCAGAGTCTGATGACATCTCTGTTCTGAATACCCAGATTAAAGCTGCACAAACAGTGCCCTCAGCTAAAACTGAATAAATAAGAGGTCTGATTATAACCTTCCAATTTACATAATATTATTTTCTTTCCCCAAATTTCATAGTATATTTGGGTGTAAACAAACAAACAAAAGAGGACCTATCATTTGTTTAGCTGATAGCACTGCAAATGCTATGGTTAATAGCTAAAGACTAATGGAATGTTAACATATGGCAATGCTACACTCAGTAGTAATGCATGGTGTGGAAGCCATGAAATTATAATGTCTTGTTCCACAGGTAATGAATGTCAATCAAATGATATGGTAACATTAAGCAATAAGATCAAATAATATTATTGTATCAATATCAAACAATGGTGATAATTTCCATATTCACTTAATATCCAATTATGCAGTATTTTCAACATTTGAGATAAAAGATGCATAAAATACTTGAAGACTAGCTTATATATATAATTTCTCATATATTTTCAATATGTCGCTGAGCCAAAGATCCATGTTATGTTGAACATCCAGCTTCATAAACAAAATCTTACCTGTATCATTGTCTGGGATAGCAACAACAAATAGGTGTATGTCAGGTTGGTTTTCCAACCCTGTATCAACCTCTGAAGTAGCTGGGGGCTCTTCTGGAAACTCTAAAACCTCTGTGGGTGGCCCTGTGGGCTGGGCAACTGCAGTGATAGTTGATGAGGTAAAATATTCAGTATCAATTTCTGGCTCTACCGTTTTGCCTGTAAAATCATCATCAATAGTGGTTTTAATGGGGGAAACAGATTCATCAATTATCAGCACATCCTTACTCGTATCCTCATCAGGTTCCCTATCAATCAAAGGTGGCTGTGTTTTGGTAATTAAAGGTTTGGATGCTGAAGTTGGTGGGATTTTGTCTACTGCAGTATCGACAGCGGTGGCAATGCCAGTTACTGCCATTGGTTTGCTTGTTGCACTAACTGAAAATGAAATGGGTCCCATTCCTACGTCCTCTTCTTTTGTTCCTGATCCTTCTGGGCTATGAGTTGTTGAAGTATCTACTTTCCCCACATCAAACTTTCTAGTGACAGGAGCAACTGTTTCTGTAGAGATGGGAACTACCAATTTGTCCAAGGATGACCTGTGTTCACTTTTGGTACTTGGTTCTATGGGAGGAACACCTGTTGCTTTCAGCTTGGGATCAATGATTCCAGGAAAAAATTCAGACTGTGTGACTGTTTCATAATCTTTTATTTTTATACCAGGACTCGATCTTTCTGTAGTGGTATAATTTATTTCATATGCGGATCCTTCAGCAGCTACATCATGTTCAGGTAACGAATGTAATTCTGGAACAACGGTGGGAGAACCTGGGTCAATGACAAATTTTTGCACGATTTGATCTCCTGTAACAGATTCCTGCTGAATCGTTGGTATAACTTCTGTTACAGTTTCTGTGAGCCCTGCATGAACAGTAACTGTAACCGAGCCTTTAGAAATTTCATCTTCTATGGTAACTGGAACCAAAGAAATGCTAGATTCTTTCTCTGAAATTGCAACAGGAGTTGCCATCTTTGTGGCTTCTGTAAATATAAAAGATTCTTTTATTTCATTGTCTTCAGTGACCATTGCTGGGGAACTTTCTCTTGAAATGTCTGGTTGCTGTTCAGTTGTTTTCTCATTAGTCCAATCATATTTTGCATCTGTTTCAATTGTCTCTTGTTGCAACTCTGGTGTAGCTGTTATTAGACGATGACTTGACACCTCAGCTCCATATTTGGTAAAGAGCCCTTCTACTTCATTTACATCTGTGACAACAGGTATGAGCCCTGTGGCAAACTCAGACCCAGACATGCTTTCAACTGCTGCTGTGTGCTCTTCTTTCTCTACTGTTGAGTGTACCACTCTAATTGTGTCAGATGTTGTAAGCACTGGTATTTCATAGCCCTTTGAATAAGTCGGGGTAGATATTTTTTTGCTTTCAAATGAAGTTACTATTGAATCTGGTGTATCTGTAGCAATATCATCTAAGATTGTCTTAGAAGAAGATACAATTTTATCTGGTTTAGGAATGGTACTAGGTGTTAGCTTCTGATCAGGCAAAACAGCCTTTTCAGGTTCATAAACACTAGTGAGCAATTCTTTTGGAATGACAACAGTTGTGAGTTCATTATCACTTTTTGCTTCCACTGATGTTTTGGTGGGTTGGGTGCCAAGATCTGTTTCTTCCTTTCTTAGAACCTCTGTTCCTAAATGTACACTCAGGTTATTCCTTGACGGAGCATCTACAGAAGTTCTTATTGGAGCCACTTCTATTTGTTCAGTTGGACTTTCAGAACTTGCTTCAATGAAATCAGAGATACCTTGTCTAGGTGTAATCTCCACTAAGCCACTTAGCACAGTCTCTGGTTGTTTCATTTTTGACAAATCAGAAATGTCTGTAACAGTTTGAGGTAGAGGGGTGGATAAATTAATGATCGGAGGTGCCTTCTTTTCTAGTTTTACCTTAACCATTTCTGATGTGACTGAAGATACATAAGGATGAAGTGTAGCTTTTGGAGATATTACATTCAGTTCAGTTAACGATTTGGCAGATCCACTTTCCAAAGGAATATTCAGTTCAACAGTTGCAGAATCAGATATATTCTCTTTACCTAACAAAACAATGATAAAAAATTAGAAATATTTAAAACTATAGTTTTGCATTTTTTCATTGCAGTATCTTGAATCCAAAATGTATTTTAGAAATAGATACTGAACACACATCCTTTATCTTAGCCAATAACCCTAAAACATTATTTGTTGAGCATGCTTTGAAAAAAATAATAATTAAATGAATCCATTTACTGCAAATGTAAAGCAATAAAGCAATCTGTATCCTATTTGACTTAGATGACTTATGGAATGGGTTTTTAACCTTCTTAGGTCACAAAATCAGAATGGAGTTATCAATACATTGTATCATCATCATCACCATCATCATCATCATCGTCCCTACTAGAGGAAACTCAACAAAGCAGCTTTTTTCATACTATAATAAATGGTACTTAAATAATTGATATTTAGGCCTTTTTTAAAACTTACTAGTCTGAAAAACTGAATTTATAAACTTAAATTCAGTTATATTCAGCCATGAAGCTCTTTGATTGGTTTAGTCTACACAAGTTTCAAATCTACACAACTGTTATGAGAACAAAATTAATTAAATTCATACACATTGCCCATTATTCTTTGGACACAAATTTTATACAAGACTGACATATAAAGCTGCTGCCCTTAAAGTTCTATGAACTGGTGGTTATTCTTGCTCATCTGAAGTCCATGTGTTTCTCCTACTATTTAATAGAAGCTTTAATTATTTGTATTACATAAGGTTCAGAGCAGGGATAGAATGAGTTGAGATGCTATCCACCTCTTTGCAGAGGGACCTATTACTGTCTCACTTTTTTTTAGTGGGCATAAATAACCTTGAACTAAGCTCTTTGTTCTGTACTTTAACAATACTGAACACAAAAGCAAAAAAGCAGAAAAATAAAAATAAAAAATCAGGAATTCTGCATTAATAAGCAATTTGTGTTTTATAGACAGAACACTAAAATTATTGGTTATAGCCAGCACATTAAGAACTTGGAGAAAGATTTGAAGGCTGGATGCTTTGCTGAATAAACAGTTCTGCTTCAAGGTTTTAGAAATTAATGTAATAAACCCTCCTACAGTTGGTAGAAGCAGTCTAAACAAGTTTGTTATGAGACCTTTCACTTTATTTCAAAGGAATGGCTATCTTAACAGTATCTTCCACTGTAAGGATGCACATACTGTAAGTAGGGATTTCATTGACTTTGGAGAATGTCCAGTTTAGGACACTGTAACCAGCACTAATTCTAATAGGACACTGCACCTTGCACTAAGTCCTAATCATGGTTTACAGAATAGTTTCATGCAACATGCTATACAAAAACCATATAAACTATAGCACGATGTATATAGACAGTGCCCTCAAACCAAAGAATGACTCAGAAGCAAAGGTATATAGAAATAGAGCCAAATAATTTTCTTCCCTGACTAGTTTGCCTCACTATTCCTCTTTGCACAAATTTGCAGTAGTTAGGTGGCAGACACAGTGCTGTAAACCAAGCCCCGCCCTTTTGTACACCCGTGTCATATCAGCTGAGCTTGCATCGCAACACTGCATCCAGCGTCTTGCCTATTTTGAACACCTTCCACTTGGACACTGCTGGCAATAAAAGATATATAACATGGATAATGCCCTATTCCAGTGTTTCTCAATCGTGGTGGCTGGGAAATTCTGGGAGTTGAAGTCCACACATGTTAAAGTCGCTAAGGTTGAGAAACACTGCTCTATTCTGTTAATAGCTTACGTTTTTTGTTTTTTCCTTTATTTCCTCCTGCTAAATTTCTCACTACACTACACTAAATTTTCCACAGGGACTCCATATTTGGAACTTGGCTTATTACTCTTATTTATCCTTAATATTCATGAATTTTTTTTTTTTTTTTTAGAGAAAGTGATAAGTTGGAACACAAAATGGATTTATTTAAGGTTAAATATATATGTTATTTCTGGTAGTTCTTAATGGGCTTTTGGTGATTAGGGCTGAATGACAAATTTTTCCAATTTGTTTACTGAAATATATACATTTTGGGGTTTCTGGTGGCTATTCATGGAATTTTTTTTTTACTAGGACTGAATGACGAGGCCTCAAAGTTTTGTTTATAAACAACAGATAAGATATGGGGAGATATTTCTTTTGCTTTATTTTTCAGAGAAGGTGATAAGGAGGGAGTGGGAAGTCATTTCTTTATATATCTTTTTCTTTTTGTTCATTTTATTATTCTTTTTTCTTTTCCTCTGCACCTTTTATTTTTTCTTTACTTTTTATATTCTTCTTAGTTTGTAATAGTCTTTTATCTTTGCATTTGTAAACTTTAATAAAAATATTATAAATAAAAAGAAAATGTTTAACAAAACCCAAAATTTCACATTACAAGTCCATTATGAGAAAAACTCCTTTAATTTACATTTTTTTAAAAATAAAAAGTGCCACATTCCTGTTGGCCCAGCAATCCAAATAGTAAAATAAATTCCAGTCTTTAACTTTTCAAATAATATTCAGCTAGGACAGAATTTAGTTTATTCCAGCTTAGCCAGATGGTTGGGTGGATTTCAGCCGATTTTTGCCAATTTGTAAAAAAGATTTTAATCCAGGTTTCTTTCTCTATCGTTACACAGTGTTTCACCAACAGCATTATTCAGAAAACAGAATTTTATGTTTGTGAGCTAAAAAGGGTTTATGTTAAAGCTGTTTCTTCTCAGAGGAGACATCCACTACAATTAATCTGCCTTTTGTCTAAAAGATGATCTACACAGAGGTTCTTTGTTTCTTTTTTTTAAGGGTTTACTCCAGCTTTAACCAACTTGCTCTTGTACAGATGTTTTGCATTACTGAATTCCTTAATTCATGTGTTCAGGAGGATATCTTTTTGTGCTCCTTCTGATGCAGTGCATGAGACACTTGTTCCTAATAAAATATCCAGATTGTTTAGAGCAAGAAATCAGATTATCTTACTAACAATTTGTTACATCAAAGACTGTCCTGAATTTATATACTTTTTTTTACAACCTGCAAAAAGCTGGTTTGGGATTAAGTCTTTTGGAACTGGAAGAGGCAGTCCTGCATTTCCTTTAGAAACTTAATGTAGCATACAAAATGCAATATCCTCTCATTTTTTCCCATGACAAAAACTTGGTAATGTAGGCTGGGTTGAGCAACCATTTTCTGTACCAGCCAGTTCCACACCAAGACAATTATTTTGTGAGAGCATCCACAACATGCTCTTAAAATCCGAGATGTGCTTCAACCCCAAATAGTTGTCTATTCTAGTACCATCTAATCTGTTTTAACAATATCCTATGCTGCAATATTCAGGTTTCATGATTCTTTTCCAACTCTCCTTCAAGGCATGATGAAGTCAACCTGAGACCCTTTACATGTGAAAAATATATTTTGCCATTAAATCTGGCCTTCCTTTGAATATACTGAGAAGCTAGGACTGTTTCTTTTCTAATATGACAGGGATTCACCTAATGTTTGCCTATTGTATAATCTGTTTAAAAAAGGTTTTTTATGATGTTTTATTATGATTTTCCTCTAAGCCATAGAGCAAGAGCTCATGGCTGAAAATCAACTTATTAAAAAACCAAAGTAAAAAAAAAATTTTTTTTAACTTTGTTTTACTACAATTCAGTGAAAATTTACAAACTCAATGAACAGACTATTATTTTCTTCAGAAAGAAAAAGGAAATGTTATAAAATAGTCCTGTATAACGCAGGGCCCATTAAGAATGTACTGTTTTGCCCTAAAGTAATGTTTTGTTTTACAGTAATGAAAATTAATGAGTAGCCATTACAAGGTCTTATACAATTATTTCATTAATGCTTCTACGTTCACCAGAGAAATGTCTTTGAGAGGTTCACATACATGTGAGATACTTTAAACAACTGCCCAGATTCAACACAAGTTCAATGCAGTTTGTTTCCTACTGAGTTTAGCTTAGCTCATATTACAATTTTTGAAAATAAAGATAGGTTTTTTTGTAACCCTGAATGAGCAACAATGAAATACATAGTGATGGGTCAGGAGATGAACATAAGTTCATATACTTACACATGCACCTATCAAGACATTCTGATTCCTAATACTTTTATGTATATACACACACCCATATATATGTGGTGTGTGTGCATGCATGTATATTCTTACTCCTTTTCCCTACAACTCCAGCTATGCTCATATATTTCAAGAGGAAAGTAGGGCCTTTGTCAACAGTCATTCTAATGGACTCTATGACTGATCATAAACCCTCTCAGAGCAAAGCTAACAGCCACAACAACTAAATATGGCACGCATGGGTGTTTGAGAGAGATTAGTGAGTGTGAACCATTTAAAAGGTTGGAGAGGGGGAAGTATGGGCAGAGGAAAACACGGACAGTAGAAACATAAAAAGAGACATGAACAAGGGGGACTGGCAACTGGGGAAGGGTAGAGACAGTGGGAGAGGATGATGGCTGCATTGGCTATTGGCAGCTAAGGAGTGTCGTGCCAAAAAATCAGTGGTGATGGCTGAAGGCAGCTCTGAAAATGAGTAATACCTACATATTTCATTGTACCATATATTGTTCAGAAAGCCTTGCTGTGGAATAGTATGTAAATCCAAAAAATGCACAAATGTGAAGAGTTCACTCATATCCTTCATGAGTTACAAACGCATCTGGACTGCATTTTTCTTCACAGTATGATACTCAAGTTTTCATTGATCTTACCAGGAAGCATGAGATGTGTAAACCAAAAGCTTTCATGCATATTTGTTCTTATTACTATGCAAAAAAAATTAAGAAACTGTGACTCTTTTTTTCTTGCTTGCTTTCCTTGCTTTCTGCCTTCCAGTCAATACTGACTCCTGGCAACTGCTTCGACAAGTCCCTGCAGTTTTCTTGGCAAGGTTTTTTGGAATTGGTTTGCCACTGCCTCCTTCCAAGGGCTGAGAGAATGAGCCCAGGCTTTGTACCTAAGGCAGCACTAGAATTCATGGTCTCCTGGTTTCTGTAATGTTTTTTTAATTAATAATTTCTATAGAAATCTACTTTTTCCTTGGAAATCTTTCCTGGCCACTGAATGGAAGAGGAACAAAGTGGAATGCATGTCTAATTTAAGCTTGCCAGGTGTCACTCTAAAAGACAGCAGCTTCTGAAACACCGGACTCAGGGTGGAAAAAGGCATGGCAGTTTACATTTCAAAACAAAGTGCTTCAATTGTGCTTTTGTGCATTCTGAAAAATATTTTTCAAAGAATTAGCACAGCTCTAGAAATAGGTGTGCTATAAAGCCGAGTATCAGCCTCTTGCTGTTCTCTTTAATTCTATAGAATCGTAACCTTACATAGGCCCTCTTAAAAAAATAGAAATGAACAATGGGTAGCTACAATCCAGTGCTAAATGTCAGAGGTGGGCAGTCAGTGTGCAATGAATGGCCCCCAAGACATTATTTGTACTGCTCAAATGCCAGATTTGGGTTGAATGTTTTTTAAAAATCATAACTCAGGGTGAGAATGAGAGCAAGAGGCCTTTGGGAGAGAAAATGCTCCCATTTTCATTTTTAACCATCACTCAGAAAAGGTCCAAACATTGTTATCCTCCTCTTTCAGTGACACCCTCTAAGGATTTGGGGGAATAAATTGTGGGCCCTAACCCAAGGAAAGTTGTCCAATCCTGCTTCATTTTGGAATGGTACCCATATGCCCAGGAAAAAAAGAAAGAGAAGGGTACGCTAGAAAGCACACTACCCTCACTGATGTCCTATATGATACTTCTGTAATCAGCGACACCTTCGTAGGAGAAATTTTGTGGAAAAGGACCCCATTCATAGCAGACATTTTATGAAAACACCTATGCAGTGGTTTCAAATTCAAAATTCCCACAAGAGACACCTATTCCTGATCTATTTTAGCACTAGGAAAATAAAGCAGCCATGACAGAGTTTGTTTGCTAGTATCTTTTCCTATGCAGCTGACATGCACAGTATTTGAACATTTATTTTTATATTTGCATGCATATATAGAAATTAGCATATGCATTTTTGAGTAATTCTGTATTTTCTTTAGTTCTTTTTTTGAGCATGATTTTTCTTTTTTTCTTTTTGGTGCTACATAAACAGTTATTCTATTCTCCCTTAGTAAATATTAATTCCATCATTTAGGAAGCAATCAAGGAATGTATTTAAGTTCTAGGAATAGAGAGCAAGTGTTTGAGAACTAAGAATGTGACTGTGATAACAAAATAATTTTCAAAGCTAAAAGTACTATTTTTAAGATATCTTAAATCAGCATATAAAATCATACTGGAACAATTAAGTTGGCTAGCCATAAAAAATAAACATTTTCTCTGGGCTTTAAGTGAGTGGGATTTAGGAATTGGGTCCATAACCAACAGTGAACAGTGAAACAAATTATTAGCATTTTAGAAAGGATATGGTTTCAGTAGAAATAAATTCATGATCAAAATGATTAAGGTGGTCATTGCTGTGGGCTTCTGTTTTGAAAACTGTTTGATTAGGGCACTAAATATCCAGAAGACCAAGTAGTATGAACACATGTACTTGGACTTAACTTGGCACAGCAGCTCTCAACTCACTATATAAAATTTATTTTTTTGCTTATTGGTTTGGTTGGAGAGTAATTATTAGCTGATTATGGCATGTCTGTAAATTGTTATTTTCTTTTTGCCCATATGCTCCGAACCACCTAATCTTGTATAATTGGGGCAATATGCAAAGATTATTAAATAAATAAACTCCTTTTAACAGGTTCACTGGAAGCAGTGGCAGTCTTGGAATCAAAAAAGTTAAGGCAGAATTAGGGCCATAAAAATAATCCAGAATCCTTACTGGGAGGTGCCTGGAAGGAGAGCAAAAGGGAAAATAACATCACATATGACATGGCATGATTACGTAAATGATGCAAATTATGATTTTATGAAATTACATCATTTTCATAATTATGACATAGGCAACATCACTGCAGTAATCAGGGATTAATTAGAAGCATAATCTAGAAAAAACAGCTATCCATGAAAAATCATTGGGACAATTAGTCACATGAACCCCAACTATCAATCAAGGAGGAACATCTAAATTTTAGGGTTTTTTTACATTTTTATTTTACATGAATAACTTCTACTTTACATTAATTTGTTCATGTTCTGTAGAGTTAATGACAATTATTTTTACTTTCCAAATCTTTAGAAAATAAATTGTAATAGGTTTTAGTACTATTTTCTATAAATAGAATTTATACGCTTTATAAAAGCTTCCAGAATTAACAGAAATTAACAGTGTCTTTGTTGACACTGTGTGTGTGTCTTTATTAAAACAGATGCCTTTCTGCTAAAGATTTGTTGCTTGACTCAGGGGCAGGTCACCATCATCTAGATAATTTCTCAGAGGTCTAATTCACTTCTGCTGCATCAGCACCCTTCCTCATTTCCTAATTTTGCTGCTAGTGGCACAGAAAAGTATATTAATAGAATGAGATGATTCCTGGAGTACCAAGCTAAAATTTGAGCTCTTCACATTTTACTACATATGTAACATGTAGCTTAGAAATTCAAAGGTTGAGTAAATAAGAACTTCTACTTCAAGGTAAGAGGTAAGCGGAGCCAGTAAAAGGATGATACCAATGCATTTTTACTGTACAAACATGCAACCTACATACTCCAAACATTGCTCCTCGCAAGTTCTCTTAGCTAGATTTTGTCTTTCCTGCAACTGAATGTACATCTTCGATCCCACCCCCACCCCACAATTAACCATTTCTAAATTACTATAATTATAAACTGTGCTTTGTTTTGTATCCTAAATATATTCTTTTCAACAGAGGAATCCAAATTTATTCCTTATAATCAGGAGTTTCTTTTTTTAAAATACTTGAGTATGGTGATGGGAACCAAGAGTAACAGCCGCAGCAATCCAAGAAATGCTCTCTTAACCCCAGTTTTCAAAGCTCCCGTTCAGATGTAAAAAGACTATGCTGTCTTTGGATACTGGTTAACCTTTGATCAAGCTGTTTCTTAACAATGTTTTATTCAGGGTCGTATACTCAAAATTCTGTCTCCCCACCTAAAGTAAAAGGCTAGAAGGGTTGAAGTCAAATTAAATATATAGTGATACTATCCATATTTTAGATAGGTGAGACATTGATGGCAGGTGCCAGTCCTGATGGTTTTTGCTACTAGTCATATGGCAGATGAGAAATGGAGCAACAGAATAGGAAAACAAGATAGCAGAGGAAAAGGTGGATTTGTATTCAAAATCACCAGCAGTATGGCTAGTTCTATTTCTATGTAAACAAGAAGCAATCTGTGTCCTTCTAAACAAGCTTTCCCCAATCCATGGCCAGATTCCACTAGGCTTCAATAAGAATTGTGTGAGTTGAAATCCATCACATTTGGAGCACATCAGATTGGAAAAGGTTGCACAATCATTGGAAATAGTCAAGGTTTTCCTTGGATATGCATAGAAACAAGGTTCAGTTCAACTTGTGTATTCTGTAGTCTAATCATAGAAAATTGTACTCAATTTGTGGGAAAATGATGTAAACATTTTTCCTAAAAGTCAGGGAAGTAGAGATGAGATTCTCCAAACAGAGATAAAAAAAGTAGATCAGCTCCTTTCCTTTGCACGCAACAATTCAGTCATGAGCTGCTTTTATTACAAGAAAGAAAATTCAGTAAATTAGAATCAATATGACAATTAAAATGTGTTGTAGGAACGTATTTTTAAAGCAAGTATCAAATATGCTTACGTTTAAAGCAATAGGCATCAAATTTGCTGTCTGGGTAAGGAAAGGCAGTTTGATTCTCATAGCGATATAGGGTCCGCACTCCAAGTAAACCTCCACCACATTGGATTCTTGCCACAGAAACAGGGTGACGCACACTGCCATCTGCCAGCCAGCCATAATCACACTGGTCAAAACCATTCCTCCAGGCAGCATGCAGATCACCAACTGAAGCAAGAACTGCCCCTTGTTCCTCACACAGATGTCTGGCTTCTTCAAAGGTTAGCTTGTTGGGAGAAGTTGTGTGGAAGACATCACCTATAAAAATAGGAACAAATCAGGTTTTTTAAAGAGGAATGCATTCCACAAATGATTTAAATGGAAAACTTGTATTTAACACTATTGTTATAACAAAATTAAACTATTGTTGTATTACTGCTCCAATTTGGTGGTCTTGATGAACTTTACCTTGAGCAAAATGTGGTACAGTGGTATATAAACAGAAATCAAGTTTGATTTGAAAGAACAAATTCAGTGTTAGAGTGAGTTTCTGTTAAGACCTTCTGATTTGCCTCTGTACATAACGGCTCTTGTTGAAGTTGCACCATCATACAATCTAGATTTGGAAAGGGCCATTCGGACCACTGAGTCCAATCACTGCTGAAATCAATATGAAAGCTATTCTAACTGGTGAATTTCCAATTGATCCTTACCCCTGAAAACCACTTCCTATACTATAAATGGGCAGCTCACAACAATAAAACCAAGAAACGATAAAAACCATAAAACATAAAACAAAATTCAAGGGCTTCAGTCATCCTCCTTGGATGCCTCCAACAAACCATCCACTGGCTCCCATCTCACCCTATCCCAGCACCTGGGGGAAAAGGGAGCTTTTCTGGCACTCCAAAAGGCTGAAAGGATGGGGACCTGCCAGATCCCAAAGGGAACCTAGGTTCCTAGGTCCCACTAGATGGTAACGTTGAAGGGAAGGAACCTGAAGCATGCCATTCTATCTGACCTGGTGGGGTGGGCAGACACCCTCAGGGAGAGGCAGCCCTGAAAATAACCTGGCCTTATGCCATGCAGGACTTTAAAAGTGATAACCAGCACCTTGAAGTGCACCTGGAAAGAAACTGGGAACCAGTCCAGGTCATGCAACAGTAGTGTATTATGAACAAACACTGTGTGCACTACTGCATTCTGGACAAGCTGTATCTTCTGGGTGGTGTTCAAGAGTAGCCCCATGTAGAGCGCATTGAAATAGTCCAACCAAGAAGCGACCAAGGCATGAGTGACCATAAGCAAAACCTTCCTGTCCATGAATGAGTGCAATTGGCACACAAGATGAAGCTGTGCAAAGCCCCACCACCACCACCCTCCTGGCCATGGCTGCCATCTGTTCCTAGAGCAGGAGTTGAGAGTCCAGGAATATCCCCAAACTGTGCACTGACTCTGTCTGGGAAATGGAGCCCCACTGAGGATCAAACATAACACATCACCAGACCCCGGGGGGGGGGGAGGGAAGGCAAAAAAAAAAAAAAAAAGCCACTCCACCTTGCTAAGATTGAGTTGGAGCTGGTTGTTTCCCATCCAGACCCTCACAGCTTCCAGGCACTGGGTCAGCACCTGAACAGGCATCACTGTTGTAACTAAGACATGTTGTTCTACATATCACTACTCTTTTCTGTCTCTGCCTAATATCTTCCATTCATCATTTAGACTTCCTATTGTCACACTTCAGATATTATGCTTCTTGGTTTAGCAATCTTTCACTTTTGTAAAGCATATTCTAATTCAGGAAACTGCATATATCAGCAAATGGCACTCTATAAATATGATAATCATATCCTTGTCCTATATAAAGGAATTCCTAATAGTTCAAGATTATTAGAGATGAGTGTGCAGATTTAATGTTTAATAGCTCCACATACAATTTCTTCCATAGAATCTAATTTCTATCATACCTGCTTCGGGAAAAAAAGAAAACAATCTACTTGTGATTCGCTGTGAGATAACAGCCTCAGTCCTCAACTCTAAGGTATTCGGTCTTCCCTAAAGACGTCATTTCAAGGGAACACAGCATTCCTCAGAGTCCTTGCAATTTATAGTCTCTTCCTCTGAAAACTCTACTCATCATGATGATTATGCTTTTTCTATAATTGGACATAAGTAAATGACTAGAGATATCCACATTTTGTTAGAATGGCTGAATTGGGGGGATGAGTAATTTCAAAAAGCATTGTGTAGATCAAAGTTTATGTACTGTGAAGACAGAGGTGCTGGCTTTCCTGCCAGAACACCTGAATATACACTCATCACCTTTGATAACAGGATACTATTTATGTAGATGATTAAATCACAGTAGAACTTTCCAATAAAACAATAAAAATGCCAAGAACTTCAACACTATGTTTACACTGCTATTCTGTCAAGTATTTTGTGCTCATAAACCTTCTCCTGGGCATCCAATATGCACTCACTAGTTCTTTTTTTTAAAAAAGTTAAATGTGAAGCTAGCATTCTGCAAAGCAAAGTTATCACCATCAAGCTTTCTATTTCCAGAAATGAGAGTGCTGACAACATGCTCTCCAAAATCTTAAATACAACCTGATTCAGGAAAGTTGGGAACCTTTACTTTTATTCCATTGAATTCATCAAATTATAACAACTGTTAGCAAAATCAACAAAGGCATTCAAAGGATAAACTCTCCGCTTAGATCTGTAAGTACTACAATCCATAGTGATGTGGGAATTTACTTCCATTGTGGAAACGGAGATGCTGAATAATGTATCAGCAAGTGCCAAGGAAAGTTTCCCAAACAAAACAGCTTAAATGTATTTTTTCCACATGTTCCAGGAAAACACAGAGAAAATCCATCTGGCAAACTTGTGAATGACATAGCCACAAACATTATTGCAATGAAAAGTAGCTAGAAAGAAGGGAGTGGGATTTGAGAGTGATCTCCAATGTTTTGATAGCTGGAAGCCACGCTGAGAGTAACTCAGCAAAATTATCAAGGCAAACACCAGAGCCAGGAGCAAGATAGAAGGGAGCTTAGCTGTCACTGTGCCCTGCAATAACAACAGTGACATGGAAACCAATATATATCATTGGGATATAGAGAGCAATGTCTATTGGTTTGGATCCCTAATCAGGCAACCTTTAATTGCCTTTGTCAAAGCACTGTTAAGAAACTTCAAATTTTCTGGTTGGGTATATTTGGACTGTATTATTTTGTTGTATGTGGGAAAAAACCCAAATGTTTAGTTTATTAATAATAAAATTATTTGTGATTTTCAGCTCAGACCAAACATAGTCCCAAAGGTGATATTCAAAATTAAAATATATAAATCACAACAACAAATTAGCATGGTGAACAAATTAAAAGGAGAGATTTAAGAACACGTTTTATTTAATTTAAATTTAAGATTATGTAACTTTAAGATCATTTAAATTAAATTTAAGACCTTAAGATCACTCCTATTTTAAGGTGTGTTTAAAACTAAAAAAGGAAAGAGACGATCAAAACACTTTGGGAAGGAAATTGCATAAAGAAAGTGCTGTCACAGAGAAGGCTCTGCCCCATGCCCCCCCCCATCATGATCTCTTTTCTGGGTGGGACAAATTATAGAAATTGCAAAGCACACCTTAAGCTATGGTCAAGCTTATGTGAGAGGAGGCAGAGCTTCAACAGCTGTACTCTTATCTCAAGCAACTCCAGGTGCCTTTCGCCATAGTGACTAAACACTATCCAGCCTGAACCACTTGGAGACATCAGCGAAAGACATTTTGCTGCAGAGGCAGATCAGAAATATCCTGCCACGCATCCAGCTCCAACTTAAGGGTACCCAGTGGTAGCCAAATTATGCTGGGATGTAAAGCAGAAAATCCCAATAGCAGCTCTCTGCTCCAAGGAAAAACACAGTAGACAAAATGTAATAGTTAGCAATCTGCTGACATTTCAAGAACAAAAACTGGCTTCCTGGGACAGTTATCTCACTTTACTCAATGGTAGGGATGACCCAGTGGATATGAACAACTTTTCCATTCCATACTGATAATTTCTGCCAATATCAGGCATTCTACTTCAGAGCATGTAATACTCATCATCCACAGAAGGATTTCTCCAATCTTTGTTGATATATAATGGTTTGGTTGTAGAGCAGTCTTATGGCTTGTTTATGTTATGTTTATGTGTAGGAAGATGGCACCTGTCCCTGATGTTTGGAAGACAGCTTGTTATAATTCCCTTATACAAAGGGAAAGATAACATTAATTCAAAAATTTCCTATTCTCTCTCTCCACACACACACAAACACAAACTAAAACCATAGGTTGTTTTTATGTCTCTCTCATTCTCTCGCTAATTTATATTAATTAGATTATACTGATGGTATCAAAAGCTGCCAAAAAGTTCAGAAGGATTAGCAGGCTAGGATTCCTACCATCCAATTTCCAATAGAGGCGACTCACCAGTACAACTCAGACAGTCTAGTACTATATCCTGGCTGAAACCCCAACTGAAATATCCTTCGGGGAAGCGTAGCCCCATTCAGCACATGTTGTACACCATTTCCTAGACTCAAGAACCATCAACGGACAATACTGTCAAGATTCACTTTCAATTTAGTTGTCCTTTACTGCATTCAGACAGTGATTCAGCACTTCCACAGCCTGTCCTGAATGTTAGCTATCATGCACAGTGCTAAAAAGAAAAAAGAAGATGTGTTGCTTACCATCTATGTTTCCAACATAGCAATAGACATCATAAGTTTCATTAGGAAGGCGATATCCATAGGATCTAACACCTTCTTTTCCCATCATGTCACCATAACAGCCAACTCTAGGTTGCCTAATAGGATATCTGCAATACAGTAAGTGAAAGATAGAGAACATCACATTTGACTTGCTACTGTAAATGTAATCAAGCGATTAGATGCACCATCAAAAAGGTACTTGATCATCTTACCTAACAGTTTGATCAGACAACCAGCCAGCATCACATTGTTCAAATCCATCTTCATACGCAGCTTTCAGTTGTTCAGGATTTGCTATTACAGCACCGTTCTTCAAACAGGTGTCCTGAGCCTGCTTGAAATTCAGGGTGTACCTGCTGGTAGCTGCTCGATAGTGGAACACCACACCTGCAAAGACAGTCATCTTAGATCACATCCACTTTTATTTAGAGCCAAATTATCCTTGGCATCAAGGTCAGAAAGAACATTTAGGAAGGTTCTCAGATTGTATACTATGCCTCTATAAACATTAAAGAGATTTTTGAGGCCTATCTTTTCCTCAGTTTACAAACCCGCAAGGTACAGGATCCATCATTATTCATTTTTGGCATCATACTTCTACATTTCTCCAATAGCCTCTGGCCAATATGGAAATAAAACTGAGCCAAACTAAAATATCATCCTGGGATTTCATGAGAAATAAATAATAGTAATGAGTAGAATTTATATCTTCCTGCCCTATTTCTATTCTTACGTTTTTTTAAAAAAAAAATTAAAAAGCAACAGAATGGCGGCTAAATCACTTATATATGGTTTGTGGCTTTATTACAGAATTTTAAAAAATATGACCAAGTGTCATATTCTTTTCTTCTGCATTTTTCATCATGTGTCTTTTTTTCTGCACTTTTCGTGTGTCTTTTTAATAACTTTGTGTCTCATATTATATGAAGCATCAAGAGTTCTAACTCAAGCATTTCAACACGATTAACTAGAAGTACGATTATAACCCAAATCATGTTCAAATCAATGGAACAAAAATGTTAATGGGAAAATTAGCTTATGACATTTCACTTGTAATGAGATGGGGTACCTAAAGAGTAAATGTAGGTATATAATTAATCTACTGTACATTGCATATTAGTCTGCTAAGATTTCCTAAACAGTATTTGGAAGGAACCTAGATTCTGGCATGTTCTTAGCATTATGAGAAAAAAACAAATATATTAAAAATGTATGTACTGCTATGGAATTTGCCACATGATATTATCCAGTGTAAACAGTTTTATAATTTATTTTGCTGCTAGCACAGTAATTCCTATATCTGCAACTACAGAATGTTGCTATTAATTTTGTATCGAAATATGTATACCTGTAACTGTGTCATAACTATTTCAAGTGACTTCTTGTAAGGGGTTTAGAAACTTTGTCTTGTCCTTTGAGTTTGAAGGTTTATGATTCAATGGGCCCCAGATTCAGATGACTACCTCCAGCAATAAAAGAGCCTGGTCCATTCTCACTAAACCTAGTGTCAGCTACTTGGGCACAACAGACCATAACATTTCCTATCTAAGTTAATGAACTGGAAAATAGTTTCAGATGCACTTTAGTCACAGACAGATGAAGCTATTGATCTGGCCAGCATACTTCTTGATTTTTGTTAAAATGTAATAGCTAGGTCAATTTAGTGTTATGACTTTGGGGCACCATTGCTTCTCACAAATTCCCAGCTGTTGCAATCTAATTTCAGAGATCTCCACAACTGTATGGGCAGAATAATTAGAACAAACAATGGCTTTTTTCTGTTTCCTCTTCCCCAGTCATCGCAACACAAGATGGTTTCAAAGGACCTATGCAGCATCTTTTTAAAATCAAAATACAAAGATTAAAGTGTTGCAACAGGAAAACACAGAATTAAATATAAAAATTGGGAACATTATCCTGATAGATTGTAAACACATTTATTTAAGTACAAATTTCACTCATTTTAAGGATCTGGTGAGTTAACTTTAAGTAACAGACAATCTACTATTGACTAGGAGGTAGGAACATGGTACTTTAAGCTTCTCTGATCCAGAACATACATTTCATCTATCCATACAATTCAACACTTTCTTGTGATGAAGTAATAACTTTCTGCAATAACCACTGGACAAATTCTACCACATTCAATGGCTGCAGTGGTTAGAAGATTCTGCTTGAAGCTAAAATGAGATTAGTCAAAGACTTTTGCTATTTATACGTGATGTGATTTTTAAAACATCTTTCCCTCTTGCCTGTTTTAATAATTTCACAAGAGAATACACAAATAAAAGAAATCAAAAGCAAACAATAGTGGTGTAAGAGTTTTACTATAATTTGGGCAAATAAAATATTTGAGAAAACTAAGAGCAATTTTAAGGCAAATTATAATAATAGCCTGAGAGTGCCAAATTTTCTAAGAACTTGTGGGGCTATGGCTTGTTTTATATTACATCAATATGCAGATACAAAAATACTGAATCATTAGGATATATCTGAAAGTACAGTTTACTCTCAAAAAGTGAACTTATTTGATCTGTACCAGTAATGATAACATATTTTAATCTTTATATCTTATGAAAGCTTTATAAACAAATAAAGAGGCTTGCTAGAGAATTCATAGAACTGCTTTTTAATATCAAATGGTTATTTACAAGATCTTTTAATCTGTATATGTACAAATGGCTGGGAACAGCTAGGTAACAAGAAACTGTTACTCAGTTAATGATTTTAAGTGGTACATATTATTCTTTCTTCGATCATTTTAATCAATGACATGCCAAAAATGGCCTTCACTTTTTTTTTCCTGTTGAAATGCCCCCAGAATAAACCACAATGAGAAATGTTCAACAACTTAATGTTGTGGTAACAGAAATACAGTGAGAAAAAAGGGCTGAAGTTTGATTAAAACAATTGTTTTCATTCTATTATCCATGAACCCCACTGGTGGCCATGAGGGTATTTCAGGAAAGTTTTTAAAAAAGTGGTTATTTAAAAAAAAAAAAATCATATTAAGTCACATTTTTAAAAATTCCTACAGGCTATTGTCCCTATTTTTAGCAGCACATTAAGAAAACAAACAAATTGAAATGAAGGAAGCTTTCCAAAATTGAAATAAATGGAAGATGTTCACTTTTTACCTTTTCTCTCCCTTTTTCAATATCTATTTCCTCTTTTCGCTACTTAATCCTTCCCACGTGCTGGTAATTCAAATACAAGGAGGCAGATTTCCATGAAAACAGCCCAACCCCTTACATTTGTCAGGGAGACACAGAAAGGTTGATATATTGCTGACAATCTGACTTAATGAGGTTGTAAAAGAGAAAAGAAAAGCTATACATAAAGATGTCACCTGCCACCCCCTGGCAGTCTAGACCTGCACAAATCTTTTGAAGTTTTCCTGAAAGTCTTGAGTTTCCAAAGGACGTTTCTTTTAATTTTGTGTTCTACTTGGCTTAAAGGACAGATTAAGTGTTGCAACTCATGGCAGGGGAAGGTTGATTTAACAAAAGCAACTGGAATTGAAATGGAGCTGCTCTGCCAATTGATAAAGATGGGAAAAGAAACTTAGTTTGGGTTTCAATACATCTAACAGGAAACATAACAAGGAACAGACATTCCTGGGGAGAGCAGGATCAGGTGGTTTTCTGTATTTCCCTAGTTCAATAATATCTATGTGAGACTGCTCCACTGCTTCTCAACTAGTGGTGCAGGTATTACCGAAGAGATGCCACATTCATTGCAATGATTAAAGAACCGTTTTCCCACAAGTCTCAGGTCAACCTACAAATAGGATGTGCAAACCCAACAATTTCTGGTTTCTCCATATGCTGATGCTTCTGAGCAGTTTCAGAAACTGAATGCTGGAACAGCCTTCTTAGCAGAGAATAATGGTCTTGGAAGCGAAAAGGATTGTTATATGGGATCTATCAGCTTTGCTAATGGGTAATTCTTTACCAAGATTCTTCCCTTGATCCTGATTTTTCCCTTCAGTTTCTCAGTTGCTTGCTCAGATACAGTATTGATTCTTCGCTTCCTGTTTTGCTGTATGAGGCTTTTGCTGTTTGCAGGAAGCAATGAAAATATCTATACTTAACATACAGATCTGTTTTGTTTTGTTTTGGGTTGTTTTTGTTATGTTTAGTTCATTTAAGCATCATATTTCAGGTTTTTTTCTTCTTTATTGTATTATCACTATTCAATGGAGGCTTTTTTCTTTTGTATTTCACTCTTTTAATAAAAATAAAAAATCACCTTTCTTCATAACACACTCTGATGATCAGAATCCCATCCCCCAAACGTTCATATTGCTTCACGAGTACAATAGTAATAGATACCGTAGCATTACAAGCAAATAACTGAATAATTTTACTGCAAAATAAATTAGGGGGATATGAACCAGATTTAGTTCAAAATGAAGGAAAAGGCTCTAAACTGCCTGTGCCAGAGTTCCATTCAGATTGGTTTCCTATTCTTACTTCTGAACAGCAATGGGCAACTTCTGGGGCCTGTGTCCCACAGGGCTGAGGCTCACAGTGATTTGGATAGCAGTGGACAAGGCTGGGTTTTCCTTTTTTCCTGTGGTGGTGGGGGTGGTCTATTTCCTCTTTTAAATTGTTCTAAAACTATTTTAAAGCTTACAATGCCATGTTCATATACTTCCCAAGGCAAGAAACCAAGGTATCAATTTCCTGCAATTGTATCCTTGACATTCAACAATGCAGCTGACAAATAGGACCTTGGGTTTGACAGTTGCATCACTGCTCTTTGGAGAACAACAAACAAAAAATGTTACTACTAACTCTATCTTTAAACCAAAATGTGGTTTTGATTTAATTTGACCTGGTTTGTGATACTTCTCCTAATGAGATCCTACCGTCTACTCTTTAGCTATACAGTTTTCCCCATTAGATAGTGAGGCCATGGTGTTTTACAAATGCCAGCTGTTTTGGTTGGTTGGTTGAGGTTTTTTGCCTTCACGTTAGTCTTGACTCCTGGAGACTGCCTACACAAGTATAAGCAGTTTTCTTTACAACATTTATGGAAGTGGCTTGCCATTGCCTTTGTCCCAGGGCTGAGAGTGATTAGCCCCAAGTCACCCAGCTGGCTTCAAGCCTAGGGCAGGACTAGAACTCATGGTCTCCCAGTTTCTAGCCTGGTGCCTTTAAACACTACACTGGCTCTCATTTTTGGTTTTGCAAAAACCTCAAACAAGTATGATATGAAATTCCATTAAAAGTTAAGGCAGGTAAGAATTAGTTCAGACATAGTGAGAGCAGAGTTTAGGTTCAGTGACTACATGAAGCTCCAGTCAGAGCTGTTAGTGGAAACCTAACTTGTGGGAACTACAGATAGTCCCCAGGTTAAGAACGAGTTCCGTTTCCAAGATCTATCCTTAAGTCAAATTTGCATGTAAGCCAGAACAGTATTAATTTATAATACTGTATAAGTAGTATTGTGTAATTAACTCGAAACATTGTGTATTTAACTCAAACTTTGCTACAATAGGCTCCATTCTTAACTATGGGTCATCTGTAACCCAGGTGTTCTTAACCCAGGGACTACCTGTATCTAGATAGGAGAACAAGAATGTAAACATGCAGCTATAAACATGGATGGGATAAGGGGACAGAAAAGAGGAAGGCCAAAACTTTGCTTCATGAGGAAGGCACTGTAAGTGGTGTGCAGGATTTGAGGTATTTAGGCTTTAGGCATTTAGGCTTTAAAATCTGCAATATCTCTCCTACCCAGTCAAAGATTATGAACTGTCTGATATGGCTATCATATCCTGTACAATAAACAAATGCCTCCTAGGCAAGTAGTCCTTGTCTCAGGAGGAGGTCTGACAACTCTTTAGAATTCAGTGGGAAAACATTATTCAATGGGAATACAAAGAGGAAAAAAAAAAGCAAGAGTACAGAATCTGAGAAGCCTCTATCACATAGATCATCAGTTGGAGGTATCATGGTCATTCGTGGTCCAATTAGAAACTTCAGCTGCCTCCCCAATCTCTTGCCATCTTAGAGGAATATCCTGTGAAGCCTTCTTCAATCTGTTGCTTTCTATTTGCATTAGACTGCTTCACATCCTCCAGGATGTCAGGTTGGGGAAGGCTGGACTACTGATTATGCCAGTGGACTTACTGGAGGTCCTCAAAGCAACAGAAGGAAAGGTCTGAAAAATCACATTCTTACTGACCCTAAGTGAAACTATTAGAAAGAAAGAAAAGTGACATTGCTGGCAAATTAGTATGTCTCTGTGAAGAATATTAAAATTGTTAATTCATTTTCATTTAACAACTGAAGTTATTTGTAGTTTAAATTTCACAAAAGAAATACAACAGTATGGTAAATGGAATTCTTACCATCAACAGCCAGTGAGACAATGTCTTGGGTATCTTCAATTCCATACATTACATCACAGCGGTAAACCCCAGCATCACTTGCACGTAACTTCACCATAGTCAATGATGCATCGCCAATGTCTTCTGGATGGCTTGGAACTGACACTCTTCCCTTGTAGCCTTGTCCAATCTTGATATTCCCATTCTGGGCCACCAACACTGTAGTTTCTTTGAGATCTTTTCCACCTTTGTCCTGTTCAATCTTTGACCACTTAATCCGGAGAAACTCACTTGTATTGTGATAGCTTGGAGGCAAAGTAGGCAGAGTTGAAAAGAAGCATGGAAGGGTGGCTCTTCCAGAGAGTGAGCCCTTCACTGGTGGGCTTTTTTCCACTTTAACTGAAAGAGATAATTGCATATGTGAGCTAACAAAAGTTAATTGCATTCAATCCACAAGGCAGGGATAGTAGTATTAGCCCTTCTCTTCACAACTCAGAGCCCAAGCAGTAGTGAAAGTGAGAAGGAATTGAGAGACATGAAATGCAACAAGGCATTCTGATGTTATAATTGTAAACTAAAAATCATGAACAAATGTAAGATTATGAAAGCTTCAGGAAAACATACTTGACTCTAAACACTGGCTCAAACCACGTTTCAAAACTTTTCCAGGACCTAATAAGGTCAACATTCAACAAGGCTATTCAAACTGATGGAGCTCTGGAGATAGCAAATAGGATACATACTCCTCACTGTTGTCTCTTTAAAAGCTGTACAGTAATAATGGCCAACATTTCTTTTAATATACAGGCATTTAAGGAAAGAGGTGATTATAAGGATAAAGGCCTTCCCTTAAACTTTCTTCATAGCTATAGTAACTGCTACGCAAAACACAACCACTCTTCAGCAAGGAAAAAGTTTTGTGTTGGTATGCTGATAACACGTTTGAACTGCAAAGGGACAAGTTTATCCAGATGGTATACCATGAAGAGACTTGCCCACATAGCTTCATTCTAAGCAGCCACTGAACTAGATCAGGGTTGGGCAATCCACAGACTGTATCACTCCCCTTTCCCGCCCCGCCTGCCCATCAACTCCAGACATATTTTTTTGCTGTTTCTGGGATCTTTGAAGATTCTGATGGCAAAATTCACTGGCAAAATGATAGTTTCCAATGGTGTGACTTTCCCCCTTATTTTAAAAATCAACTAAGCCCTAAAATGACCTCTTGTAAGTTTCACAGATCTGTTTTGAGTTTAACTTGTCTATTCCCTGGCCAAAAATTAAGCCCTGTTCTAGTGGCATCACCACATCACTGCAATACCAAAGCAAGGCAGTTCCACGTTCACTCTGCATGATGAGCATAATCACATAAATTTCAAAGTTGAAAAAGTATCATTATACTGACAATGGAAACTCCCAGTTTCTTTATATGGGGTGCTTTTATACAAAGGAATTCTAAAAATGTATAAATTGGTGTTGATGTTGCTGTTCCCTGATCAGATTCATTTAAATAGATTAAATGACTCTCCCACACATATTGGAAGAACATAATAGGCCTCCTTAAGAAAGGGCTAATGCCTATGATATGAACAGATATTCCATATGAGAAATAAGCCCATTCATGTCACCAGCCTGCCGCTAATGGAAGGTTTAGGTGCATGGTTGGAACTAATCTGTGCAGGACTAAGTTTCTCTTGTGTATTTTAAACAAGGCAAGAGGCTTTATCTGAACCCCCTTCATGATTTCAGCGTAAAAGAAAACAGTTGAAATTCAGTGATCCCAGTACAAATTTATAATCTGGCTCTTTCTCTATGCTGAACAGCTGGCTTGGTACAAATCCATTCCATGCTTGCATCCTGCCGATACTACATAAATTCAATATTTAAATCTGAGGCATGAAGAACATTTGCCAAAAACAAATGAAAAAAAAAATACCCAATAACATCTGTGAACCAAGAATATTGTTGAGTTGGTTTGTGTTATAGCAAAATAAATGATTGACTAATTCTAAGCAAGAGTTAATTTATATTTACCATGTATCTTAAGGAAAGAGGAATTTTTTCTTTCTTTCCAGAAAAATATTTCAGGCAGCCAGTTGTTCCCTTTTAATTATTTCCTTTCCAACCTCAGGGCTTAACATATCACTCAAATAAAATATTCCTCAGTAGTTGGGAGGGAAGGAGGGGGAAGAATAAGAAATATGGGTGGCTCCTACATGATTAAAGAACTTTTACCATAGTTTTATATCTCTCCAGCTGCAAACACTTTACAGAAGACTGTTTCCATCCAATATTAGTATACAGTTAAGGACAGTGCTGGCTGTTGTTCATATAACCTGCCTGCTATGTGTCTGGAACTACATATTTGCTAGTTCTCCTGTACCAATCCTTAATCCCTCATGAACTTACTCAATGTGGCTTGACAGACTAAGATATAAAAGCAGGCTCTGTCCTTATTTTCCTTTAAGCAATAGGCTTCTAACAATGTATTAATTCAGAGTAACTGAGAAACACACATATATAAATAAATCCTGCCCATCTATAGCACAAAGTGAACATTGCTTATATACAAAAAGGTTTTGTTTTCATTTTTTTAATCTATATGCTTAGAAATAGAGTATATGAGGAAGGTAACTTTTATTAGATTAATATACATAGGTGAGAATTAAAAAAAAAAACCTAAATGCTGAGGGAGGGAATTAAAAGAAAGTTACAATGAACCTTCTATCCAATGAATAAGGAAAGGTACTGCAAAGGTTGTGTATGGGGCATCCATGGTTGGGGGGTGTCAAAAAAGTCAAGGTGATGGCTGTAATCATGCAGTAGTAGTCACCATTTTTACTTTTCTGACACCCGCTCTCCCTGCAGAGGTGCCTGGTTATGCAGTATTGATCATGACTGTCCCAAAACAGTTTAAGTGAAGGGCAAGATTTTGTCTTCTCCAAAAACAGGTAAAACACTGAACACTGAATCATATTTTAATACTGGCAACAGAATAGTAATCTCCACTGTATCTGAAGGTTGCAGGTCATGTATGAGACCCAACTTCTAATGATATCTGGCATGATTAAACATAATATGCACCATGATAGCATAACAAAATAGCCTGTTACCTAATACACAGCTCTGTCCCATCTATTCCCCTTAGCAGCTGCCTCCTTCTGCCAGATCTGATCTGCTAAAACTGTACCACCAGCCAACCTTTTGCTGCTGTGGCTGTCTAGTGGCTGCCCAGATTTTTGTAGTCCAGATCTACTAGCCCTTATATAACCAGTCTGTAGGGTTAATAATAAGCACTTTTCTAACATTGTAAGAGATGTTAGTCTGAGAAAAATGGAAAGCCAATTCTATAGAGGACAGGCAGAACAGGGATACAGGGATGGATGGATGGATGGATGGATGGATGGATGGATGGATGGAAGGAAGGAAGGAAGGAAGGAAGGAAGGAAGGAAGGAAGGAAGGAAGGACATTCTACTTCTTCCCAGCTTAGGTGATCCTGATAATCCTGGTGTCTGACCTATGTTATTTAAAAATGCTGTCATTGAATGTACCTCTACAGCTTCTCTTTGGAACCAAAAGCAACAACAGAGGCATACTGTACAGACCATATGCTGAAAATATATGTGGGAATCCAGAAGAGGTCCCTCTCATGATCATGCGCAAAAAGTTAAAGCACTGGATTAGAATGTCATAGATCCAGGCTCAAATCTTCCTTCAACCATATAAGCTGACTCTCTCTCAGGCCAAACTTAATTGTTGGTAGAGAAAGAACCAGAAGAGGGAGTTCTATGTATGCCATCTTGATCTACTTCAGGAAACATAGGCAATAAATCTAATAAATAAATACAATCCAAATACGCAAACACAATAGAGCAAATACATTATATAAGATTCGTAATTAATACAGATTCATTAATGGCTTTAACTGCAAATGAACCGTCTCCAAAAGAAAGTGTGTTGAGGCAGCAGGGCAACATCAGAATATGCAAGAGAGAGAGAGTTTACCCAGAGAGTGGTTGCATATCTGTGTCACAGCAAAACACATGCCAAAGGAGATTCTCTGGCAGGTCATGTGGGAGAAAAGAGAAAAAGTCAAAGCTTGCCGTGTGACAAAGTTACATCACAAGGAATCAAAATTACAGAGCATAAGAATATGTGAAATACAGTTAGTTGAACTGCTTCTGTTCAACAGGAGCTGCTGATAGGTTAAGTGAATTCAGGTATTTGCAATCATGTTAAAATCATGTCCAAGGCAAGCAGGAATACTGATAACAATAAACTAGAAGCTCAGGAAGCAAAATCACCCAGACAGGCCTGACAGGCCTTGGAAAGCCAGACAACTGCAGTAACCTCACCTGGCCGCAGGTCTGCTAGGACCTAATCACACATCAGAGTGTGAATTAATAATTGAGGCTGCTGAAAATGAGTGCATGAGAGACAAGAGCTGGGAGCCTCAACAGACTTTCCCTTGCAAAGAGCATTTTTATAATATGCAAGTTGGCTGATACCTGGACCACTGAAGTATAATCAATAGCTACAGGATCTGACTTTTTAGATTAGGCAGAAAACATAGGGAGACACCAAATGAAAACAGAAGAGAAATAACAGATGATGATGATGATGATGATAAAATATTTATTAATCAAATTTATATGGCTGCCCATCTCCCAAAAGGTGACCCTGGAATATTGATTGAATATCTCCAAAATATTCATTGGTTATTGCTCAGTATGATTCAGTACTAATCCTTCAGGATAACTTTGGTTGCTTCGGTCTAACAAGGTCAAATGACCTTTCTTCTTCAGCTATCCTGGGCAATGTACATGGATCTGAACTTTTAAATAATCTTGCATTTCCAGTTTCAAATAATCTATTTATGAGATTATGGAATTCTACATCTTGAGAATTCTGAGCTGGCGAAAGATGGTGTTTAAAAAAAATAGGGAGAAAAGGATAAGAGTTTTACAAAACAAGCACTGGAGGAGCAAATTAATAGAACGTTTTTCTCTGTAGTAATACTAGATGCTGGGATCAACTACCAAAGCTGAAAGGTGGCAAATTTTGTTCATATAAAAATAAGCAACTTAGTGGTTCCTACATAGTTAAGCTATAGAAACCATTGCCATGAAATGATGACAAGCCAGCTCTACGCCTAATTATGAGCAGTGTCCTTATGTTTTAGGGCTCCAAAGGTGCTATATACAGAGACAATTACAACATATAACCCTAAGAAGTCACCAAAATATTTACCAACTAGTATATCCTTGTAGAAATCATTATAATTTTTTTTTCACCATGAATGATGGTCACTAAATAATAGCTGCACATATGTGTCTGGTAACCACGCACATAACCACTCCAATTTTAAAGATATCACAATATCAAACTTATTCCTGGA